TGCGATCGTTATTTAAAATCGAGTTGTACTCGGTTCGATTTTCAACGTACAGCTACAGATACTAGCTAATGGTCCGCGAAAAAATATGAACACTGCTCAACCGATCGACGCTTCGGCTTAAACCACTGCTGCAGGTTACGCGGAGCAATCTCGTTAACATATCAATATATGGGTGGCGGGAAAAACGGAAGGTGGGAGCGAGACCGACACGATGTTGTCGAGAAAAAACTTTGGGGGGGGGGGTCCGTGTATACGCGTATACAACGTATGATGGGCCGTGTGCAAGTCGTACGTACACGTATAACGGCTATAGCGCACAGTAACCGGTACAATAATGATGTGATGGTTTGGCGTTTTGTGCGGACATACAGAAAGAGAGTAAAAAACCAATCGTTCACGATATTACGCGCGTAGGTCATTTCGCAACGACTGGACGTGTATAAAAACGTGTACGCAAACATATATAATATGTATTTTTTAAACGCGAAAGGAAAAAACTGACGGAAATTGGAACACGTCCGGCGGTTCGGTTCGCCTTATAAAATATCGAACCGGACAACGGTATGGAGTATTCGAAACTGTGAAGTTTATAGTATGCATACATATGAGTCGATCTAAGACTTACCGTCTATCACAGAGCATATTTTAACGTACAAAGTACGTGGCATTAGTGCCCCCACCCCCAGTGACAATTTAATGTTACTCAGTGGTCGTGGTGATCGAGCCACTAACCAACACATTCTCATAACGACAGCAGTGACAGGAAGAGTTGATTTTCCCTGTATGTTCCTCTGCAGAAGAACACCGCGTCCACGAACAACGACGGCAGACAATTCTATTGAAGTATCACCTAGTGAAAATTACTTAAAATATATTCTGGTCCATCGGGCACAGTCTCATCCACATACCTGTACGCGGGGTTTTTTCGATCGACGTATCCGGCGCTTGAAGGGATGACACCGAAATTGCGGAAGAAACGGTATAAGTTATCGCGCGGCAAACGATCTAGATTTTTCGATGTGACGGAGAGAATAATAAGAATGATTTGTGCTCTCGTTGAAAACCGTTTACAAGACAGTGTGCCTAAAAAATAAGTCGAAAAATCCCGAGAGTTGTTTATTTCTCTCTCTCTCTCTCTCTCTCTCTCTGTAATCCGTTGGCCTTAAAAAATACGATACAAGTGTACGGTAAAACACGATTAATTACCCACGTCGTCCACTTGGGATAGACGTTAAAACAATCATCCGGTATACATATTTGTACACGCGTACATTCATCGTGGCGCCTATATTACACGTGTATTATGTGTGCGCGTTTAACGTCGAACCAAGAATAATATATAAAATACACTCTTTCTCTCACTCTCTCTCTTTCTCTCACGTGCGCGCGAGTTATCTCCGCGCACTCCGTTTCGGACTCGCCCACGTCGGTTTTTAATCACGATCGCATTCGTAATTATAATGAGTGCGCGCCAACGACGACGAAGTGGTTCTTTCTTCTGTTGGTTTCATCGCTTGTTTATGAATGGCTCGTGTTTTGTGCACGTGGCGGTCGCGGTGATGATGACGACGACGACGATATTAATAATAATAATAATAATAATAGCGTTCGGAGATTTATGAAATAAAACAAAATTAACCGTACCCGGTCTCCGGCACACGTTTGGTGAACGTGGAGATGACGTGTGCACATTTTCAACGCGCGCGCGCACGCACGTCGGCCGAGGAGTTCATTCATGAAAATTAATATAATATATCGTCGCGTTGCCCCAGGGGCGTTCCTCGATATCATTCTTCTTCTTCTTCTTCTTCTTCTTCGCTCCTCTCCGGCTCAACCCGAGACCGGTTTTAAAACGTTTTTCTTCTCCCATCCGTTCGGATCGCGCCTTCTACACGTATACAACATGAAATATGTGCACGGGACGACGTGTATCGTATTATCGCGCGATAGGAACGTGTACGAAGCCGCGGGCGACCGACGCGCGCGGCTGGCGCCCGACGTTCGGCCGGACGAGATGTAACGGCGACGGCGATCGGGTCCGAAGGAAACGCGCGACGCACGTGCACCGACGGTTCGCGTCTTGCGGCCGAGACGCGCAATACACCGGACCGGCGGCGTATTTAGACTTACTTCTTGGGGGGGGGGGGGTCAAATTTTTTTTTTTTTTAATTCTGGCTCGAAGCTCGAAACTTACAAATCAAATGTTGATAACATTTAAATCGGATGAATCCTTAATATTTATGGGTTTTTTTTTTTTTCTAATGTCGGATCCACTTAGAATCGACTTTTGTGCAGTTATTTCTTAACACCTGTATGTGTTTTGAAAGTTACGCTTGTGTTTTATTTGATTTTTCACTGAGTATGGACCCGACAAAAAGCCCGATTCATCAGTGTTCACAGCCGCGCGCGATTTGATTTCGTTATTAAATGATCTATGTTAAAAAAATTTGAAATGTGTATCTCAGATACTCGTATAATCGATTCCTTAAATACAGATTCAGACGCCCCTGCACCGGACGCGATGAATGAACGGGGAAGAAACTTGCGCGCAAAAAACGACAGGAGAACGCTGTACCGTGTTTCGAGTAGTGCCGTGTAGCGTTTTGTTCAGCGATACATCTGATAAACGATGTCCGAAAGTCAACGAAAAAGCCAAGGGTTTTCTCTCCTTCGATTAACAACAATCCACTGCCGTTTCGATGCGACGTTCGTGATCCGATTTCCGCTGTATCCGTCCCTTATCAATTTACACTAGTAAAAAAAAAAAAAAAATTCAGAATTAGTATTTTTATCGTTTTTTTTTTTTTTTTTAAGAAAACGAAATTTGAAGTACTTTTAAAACATATAATCGCGTAACACAATGTCTGTCAAAAGCAAATTTGAATCTGAAATCGTGTACCTACCGAAAACCAACGCCTTTGAGAATATTTTCGTTGGCTTTAATCTACAGATAGTAGGTAGTATAATTATCCTCGTAATAAAATCGTCAAAAAATGGTTTAACAAACATGATTCAACCCTACGTGGATTTGACATTCTGACAAAATGTTCTTCTCAATAACATACATTCATGAAACAAAATATCAAATCGCATTTTGGGTGAATCATGATTAAGAATTATTGATTGGTTTGCAACAATAATAAAATGAAATGTAAGATTCGTCGCGGTTTTCGGGTTTATCAAAATAAGTGTTATGAAATTATAATTAATAAACATTGAAATAATGTACAATATGTCATATTTACATTGTTAATAATACTTATTACAAGTATGCAAAATATAACAAATAATTGTATGCCCACGCATATATATATATATGTTTATGAGGTCAAATCAATCAAATAAGTTAACCATCTGTTACTGTTTTAAAATTATTTATATTTAATGGGGTTCTGGTTTGATGATTGAAATAATTATACATCATATTTTTTAAGTAATGTACCGGCCCAATCTTCAAATTTTACGTAAACGAATTATTTTACTCGATAAGACAATGTATAGCCGTCGGATAATGATTTTATGATTTTTAATAACAAACAATTAAAATACGTTTCGTTTTGTACACGTGTTTTGTTTTTCGTGCTTTTAAAATGTCTATACAATCAAATAATACGTTCGTGCGCAATAACAAATTAATAATTGACACATAAATTACGGAAACAATCGTTAACCGTTGGGTGATATTGTCAATTAACAAACGCAAATCAAAACGTTATGATCGGAAACAAGCCAACAACTTATGTACTTTCAATAATTTACTGCAACATCGGGACAACGGAAACGAGCAACATGACAATCATAATTCTAACAGTTATTATCATACATCAATTGGTTTACTTAAATCGTTTACGTTTCTTCTTGTTGGCTGCGGTTGGTTTTCCGTTCGAACCGCAGCAGTTCTTCCTACGATCCTGCAGCAGAAAACTAACTAAATTGTTACGCCAATAATATAGTTTGTAATGGAACGGTTTTCGGTACGTTTTACTCGCGTGGGTAGATGAAACGTTTGCTGTAAATGAAACATTACCGAGTACATATCGTGCGGAGAATATATTGAACGATTTCCAAGGCGCATTACGCACGAAAAAAGGTGTTCGTAAACAAAATATATTAACGTCGGACTGGACGTACATTAGTTCTAGTGTAATCAACATAAATTATACCTTATACTTATGTTATCTAAACCTATGGTTTAAAATGTGTTACGGACTCTCGGACACGGGCGCAGGTAACTCGTGTACGCGATTCAGTTTACAATATTCGCGGACCGCGTCGGATAATATGACACAAATTATGTCCCTGACAGATGTTCGCTGTGGTTCCCCCTTGGACTTTGTATTGTTGTCAATTTGGAAGACATGATAATCATGAGTGTACCCCGGGAGTAACTCTCTATAGATGGACGATGATGTGGCGTACGATGTATGCGAATGAGCGACGTGTGATCGTGTTCATCGTAGTGATTCGAAAATTGAATAATCATTTTTTTTTTGCAGTTTTCCGACAGAAAAACAATAATGCGCGAGACAAAACCAATAAATATTGACGCACAGTAGACTCTGCTGAGCTCTTTTTTATGTTTAAAAGAACAGAACACTATCTATTACGCAGCATTGAATGATTCCAATTATTATATAATCATTTCCATCACGTTCGATAGCTAATAATAATTAATAATAATATAATTAATAATTTATAATTAAAATTTTACAAATGTTGGTACAGCTTTGAATCTATTTCTGTCCATGAAAAACATTAATAAACGATGTTCTTAAATGAAAAAAAATATATAATGTTTAAAATTGTATTTTAATGTTAATGTTTAATGTAAAACGCGAAACACGGTCTAAAGTTAATAAATTTAATAAATTACTTTCTTTTATCTATACCGATAAAGCTGATATATTTTATAATTATTTAACAAAGTTTTTATTATAAAATATAATTTACAATAAGCAAAATATAAAAGACTGTAAGATTATTCTTCAGTGTTTTTTGTATTATTTTTCATTATACTCTATTTTACAATCGTGTAATTTAGATTTGAGATGGTTAATTATTTTATATTCTCTTTTCAGATTTAAATTTTTTAATTGCAAATGTTTCAATCTCCTAAAAATAGAATAAATATATATTATAAAATATTGACTTTATCAATTATTTTATATTATTTTTTTTATTCTCACTGAAGATGTTCCAACTCTATTATTCCTTCATCAGAAATATTAACACAATAATCAATTTCTAAAGACGTCAAGGATTCTTTTAAGATCTGAAGCTTATGTAATGCCTCATTATCGATTGTGTTACATCCTACAAATGCTATATCGGAGATATTGTCGCAGCCTTCTGCAACATGAATGTTATAACATAATGTCACATATATTACATATACAACTAATTTTTTATTGATTGTTTTCCCAAAACTTGTAATTCTGATAATCTTAGTAAATCAATTTAAATAAAACAAAAGTATTTTGAATCAGATAGTGTAGACATATACATCAAACATAATTTCCAATTAGTAAAATTATAATTCTTTCAATCACTTGAATAACAATAAAATTTGTTACCTATTTCGAATCTCATTGAGGCAATTAAATCTTTTAAATGACATAAAATATTACAATATAACATTTAAACACAAGTAAAATCACTTAAATTCTTAACTTTTAATAAATTTAAAGTTGAATTATGTTGAATTATATATCTATAGGGTTAAAAAAAAAAAAAAAAAAAAAAAAAAGATAGTAAAAGTTTTTTGAAATTTTATAATTGCGATATGTTAACAAATTTTATATTGGGATGGTCTAAAAATTTTAGTATATGTATAACGTACTATATTAATTTTTCCCATGCAAAATATAGTAGGTATATAACTCGTACACTAATTTTTTTTAAATTTAAAAATTTATAGAAAAAGTAAACCAATTTTTATTTTAGTTTTAATGAAATATTCAAAATAAATGCTCTGTAAAACAGTGAGAATAATTAATACGATTAATTGATCTATGTTCTTTATAAGATCTTTTAGGAATTTGAGAACCAGTAAGTAGTTAGATGATAATAGATTAATAGTCAAAACCGGTATACGCATACTGAAGTGAAGAAATCCCAAGTGGGATATGGAAGCTTCAGTTCCAGCGTAAACTTGTTCGATTTTAAATTGTTTCAAATAACTATCATGTTTAGTTGGCAAAAAGTCATAATGTCCCACGAATTGACTGGAGTTCTTACAACGTACTTTTGCACCGTTTTTCATAAGCCATTCCGCACATGCCAAATTAGGACCCATTTCTTTTGTCCGTTCATCATCAAACCTTTGTTAGATAAAATAATGTAAATCGATTAAGCTGAAGTAAATATTTTTCAGCGAGACAGTGGTTTTGAAGTTAAATCACTTACTGGTTAAATGAGTCAGAGACAAACTGCCAAAAGCAACGTTTGTTTCCAATCGTGTTTCTCATCAAACCGAATAGTGAACGCTTAGAAAACATTTTGATCGCAACAATTCAACATTCACAAATATAGATGAATTATTAAATATCAAAAGTTGACACAATATTAATAGTAAACTATATTTCAGAACAAGAAAAACATATCAAATTATAACGTATGTGCTCTAAACATTTATGATTTAATAAATCATCATATTCAGAAATCGACGTTACACTGGGTAATGAACAATAATATAAACAACACAAATTATAAAACTACGGTGATATTTAATCATAATGGTTAATCTAGCCAAGCTCGGGATTTACCGAAAAACTAATACTCGAAAACTTAATGTGCATAATTCAATATGCTCGTATTACTTGATAAAAACACGTTTATTATTTATTTTTTAATATTAATCTATAATAAAGTTAACATTTTAATTTAATAATTTCATAATAAAAGGATTTAAACAGATGTACGAGAACTTAAAAAAAACTGAGCCGTTGTAGGACGCCTGGCAGATCTGAAACATCGAAACTTTTTCGTATAAAAATTTAGCACGAAAGGATGAATTATTAAAGGAAACTAATATAGCATAAATAAAAACAAAATATTCAGATTTTTGTCAAAAAAAATGTTCATTATTTACAAAATGTATATTCAATTAATACCAAAATTAAAACAAAATCAAAAATTACTCACCAGATGTTTGAACCTGCTATAGTTCGGTCATTTTTATTTTAATCGACCCTGAACGTTAATATAGACCATTTATTGAAGATAAAGTCTACCAAGGATCTGAAAAACTGTAAGAAATATAGTCAGTAAAGTTATGCTTATTTTCAACGCGTCGTCACCTCGTAACCTTCGAAATCACGGGCTGCGTTGAACATGTTAAATAAGGCAACGTATCAACTCTTTCCAGTGTGGTAGTTGTAACTGTTGACCACTTAATTCTTAGTTAGAATGTATTTTCTAAAAATATGTTAGTCGAATGGTTTTTTTGACAAACACGTTTTAGATACCATTTACATTTTTCTCCCTGTGCTGAGATCACAAGCTGTAGTACACAAATTTAGAGAGGAGAGCGTATCAAAAGTTTTTACTAGAAGTAATTGTTAACCGTACTCGAACAATGTTTACGAATTACCGTCAATCGCTTCGTCGAAAATAAAACAAAATATTTTAAAGTAATTATTAAATTCAATATGGAAAAAATGATGTAGGAAAACTTAAAACAAGTTCCACTTTTGACCGTATACATTAAAAGTCCCTTATTTTAAGTATGGTGGGTCTTTCTGCAGCAATGAACATCAATACGTTTCTATTTGATACACTAAGGGCGTATTATATATATTTCACAAAAGCTTTGGAATCCTTAAGAGGCTCTTCAGTAAATATATTACTCACATATAAATATATATATGTATATGATAATAGTTGGGTTAACGCGACAACTGTAACTTATATAGTATATAAGTTGAAAATTCGTGTGTGTAACTAACAACAATAGTATAAGCACACTGTATAAGTTCATTGGAAACGTAAATCATGAGGTTATAATATGCGAGTCAACTGTTTATGATAATAATGTTTTATTAACGTGAAAACCGTTCGCTTTTGATAATTGGACGAGGAGGACGATTCACTCTTTAATGAAGAAAAATTGTACTTGACCGAATTACGTTCATCGTTCGATAGCGATGATTTCTTCTGATGATTTAATGTTTACATTGTTCGTAAACTATTCACTTTGAATGATTCGTCTGAAACAATCGCCAAAAACCAAACCACGTAAACGCTTAGATTAGGTTGGGATAATATTGGGGTTCATTATTACGAGTATATTTATGTGCACCTACCTACTAGTGGGTATATTGTAATACGAGTATATATGAATATAACTGCAGAAACGGGACAAGTCCACTTTTCCTAATTTTTCAGAAATGATGAAAAACTGAACATGATATGTTCCCTTTCTGCAGTAAAGTGAAATTTTCAAACGCTATATTTAGCGTTTGGATAGTCGGATTTGACTCCTTTCTACAGTAAACGATGTATTTACGCGTACTTAACAAAAAATGATAATAAAATCAAATTTGATAAAAATGGAATTGTCCCGTTTCTGCAGTTAGCGATTCATATAGTTATGCTGGGATAGTAAGTGTACCAATTCGTTTAGCATTTAAAAACAAATTTCAACTGTGTCAGTGATTACTTTTATAATCACGATGTATATTATCTGGGGACTAAATTGGTAACCATGCAATTTATTACCACAGATATTTTTACAAGATTTAAACGTACAACTTTTACGATGATAATTTAGAAAAAAAATTATTAAAAAAATTAAATTTTATTGCTTGTTAGAAACGTTTTGCTCCACTTATTTATATCTGGCTGATACGTTATTTATTATTTAATATTACTTATTCGTGGCGATAGTCGTGTTAACGCGACCACTATTCATTGTAATATAATACACAAGTTCATCATGCATCAACAATGATATAGGTAGACTACAAGAACACGAGGAATGTAATACGTGTGATCATTCTACGCGAGTCAACTATGATGATAATATTTCTCTCGATTTTAAATCGATATTAACATTGCGGCGTCGCGGTGATGTATAAAAAACGAAATAAAATAAAAAAAGTCTAATGTTTCTGATCGGGAAACAGCGTATCGTGATATCTACAAAGTGTGTTCACTAGTCGAACATACACAGACTTTTGTCGAAATAATTTTTTTCGACGTCGAATACGTAATACACTTATAACCTATACGCCATTTGTGCGATTGCTTTTGTTTCTTAGTTTGATGTTTACTAAAAGCTCGAAAAGTAATATTTACCCGGGGAACTTACTATACCAATTTTCGAGCGCACGAAATGTCGCTTCAATAATAACGGAGTGCTCGTTATTGGTCGTGTCGTGAACGTTTCGCGGGGTTCAGGATACGTTAAGGTAATGGAGCCCAGCGACGGAGGAGCGGGGTTTAAAAACAGGAGAAAACCGTGGAAATCCGATATCGGCATCGGCGCGACACTGTATTGTGCACATTAAGTGTGCCGGTGGCGACTGTCGATTCAGGTATGCCGAGGGAGGTTTCAAAACACCCACTACACGTCCTAGGCCGGGTCGATGTCGTAATTCGATCGCCGGGTTCCCACAACGAGTACAAAATGCGCGCGGTCAGACTGTTCTACATCGTGTAACGTTATTGTCATGGTTTACGACGCGCGCGTGGATATTTCGCGCTCATTTTTTTCATCGCGTCGACGAGAACGTTGCACGCGGTATCGATCTCCATCATGGATGCGGTTCGCTTTGTTATACCGTTGATCCCGATCGTTGTTGACACGGTCACGGAAAGCGCGCGCCCGTTCGGTACGTTACAAGTACCGGGGAAAACGATCGGAACGAAGACCGCGTCGGTCGCAACGACAACTCCAGGTGACTAAACGCGCGGTTCGGCGCGTGATTCACCGCGGTCACGCCCAGCTCGTCAACGCCGCGACCGGGAACGCTCGAACGCGTACGCGGAGACCGCAAGTGTATGTATACGCACGGTGGCGGTCGAGGAGAGTGAACGACACGACGAGAAAGAGACGAAAACACTGAGCGATATAACGCACGCACGCGTAGGAGTATAAAGAAAAAAAAAGTGTACAGGGGTAAAAAAAAACGGCACGCGGTGGTGCGTCGAACGAATTCGTGTATCGATTCTCGATTTGGCCTAATGGCGTCCGCGGGAAGCGCGTGTCGCCGGCGTATTATTATTTCACTTCCACGCGTACAAGTGCACGCACAAACGCGCGCAATCACTCAACGAGCGGGCGTGGCCGAGCCCTGCAGGACCCGTGAAATGAAAGACCGAATGCGAGTCCGCCGCCGGTGTATTTCGTACGGGAATACGCGTCACCGACTCGTAAACGACGTGCACGGAAACGCCGAGGGAATACCTTCGGCAAAGGTGAACAAGGGCAGGGTGTGTCCCGTGAGGATTCTCCGATCGTTTTGGGGCCACTTCGAACACGGGCAAACGCTATCGGGACGATACCCCGACCATTTTCGGTTCTCGTTTACATACACGCATGCACGTACGTGCGTGCGACTCGTACGTTTTATAGCTCACGTGAACGATTAAGTATTTTCTAATTTTTATTGCGGTTTAATACTTGCGTTATGGCGTGGCGATGATTACGCGATAGTAAAAGGTGACACTATTTCAATGTGAAATTAACGATTAACACCGGATCATCGGTGCAGTGTTGTGCGCGTACAACACTTATCCTTCTTATCCTGTGCGGTTTCCGCGTGATGTACTGTTCCGAACTGTTGGTTATTGTTTATTTTAGAGAATGGAAACGAAGAGATTTCCCGAAATTCAAAATGTACCATAGTCGTTGTACATTTCGAAACATGACAACTTCGACAACTTCGATCGTACACCGCTGCGGGATAACGCGAACGCACATGGCGCATTGTAACGCTTTCACGACGGCGGAACTAAATAGTACCGCCGTACACCACGTACTATGAGTTTAACAACGACGATTTGTTATCGAATGCTATCGGTGAACACGATAATTAATTAGAATGGAACGAAAATCGTGAGATATTTTTAGAACTCGGGGGTGCTCAGCAACCCCTATCACGGTCGTGTGCTCGCCAACGATGGTGCGAACGTCGCGAGTCGAACAAGAGTCGACGACGACGACGACGACGGCATGCGCCCGGAGGATGAGGTTGGCCCGTCGTAGGAGCACGGCGACAGTTTTCGAACGATCGTAAAGGGCACGAGGGGGTGTATTGAAAATCGGAAGGCCACTACTTCGTGGGATGCGACGCGATAAGGTCGAAAACGATCGGTCGCGTTGTGGTCGCGGATCGTTTCCGTTTTATTATCGCGGCCAACGCGATCGCCACGAACCCGGTTGCCGACGGACGTCTCCGACGTTTGGCTCGAACGCACGCGCCTTGTACCGATCGCTTCCATCCCACTATCACCAGGGGCCGGAAATTAAGTTCCCCGCGTTCCCTCGTCGTCACCGGACGATCACGACCGGGAAAAATCCGCACGGCGAAAAGCCGTCGAACGATACCCGTGCGCACACGGAGGCGACCGATCAAAACGTTTTCGTCGAACGACAGCGCAACGGATATGCGCCCCCGGAGCGTCGCGCACGCACCCGCGTACACGTGCGCCTACACCGCTTGAGCGCGTCTACGGAAATCAATATCGGACCGCGGGCTCTGCCGCTCGTACGACGGGTCCGAATGTTTATCCCTCAACGCGCGTCGCGCACGACAATACGGGACACTCGATAACAACGCGACGCCCGCGGCCGTTCTTGTCGGTCGGTTTCCAGTGACGAAATGCGCGAGACGTTCGTCGGTTGTAAGCTTGTCGGACGAACCGCATTTTCTCGTAACTCGACCGTACACTAATAATAACCATAACGCGCAGTACTGCACACAGTTTTCGTTGTTTTTTCGCTTGTCTTTACGAAGAACATCTATTGCGCACGTGCAGACGTAATACGTTTTCGTTCATAACACGCGCACCGCTAGACAGGGGAAATCGTCCGGTTTTATGCAGCGTCGGTCTGGTATTTAAAAGGCTCCAAGTTCCCTCAAAAATGTCATCTAATGTTGGGTGCTTGTTAACAATGCAAACCGTTGTAATTTTCTAACGGTGCCTTATTCGAAACGCACAAACAATGTGTGTTCACTACGCGACGTAATCATTTATTATAATGCAATGTTATGTAAATAATACGTTATTATATAAAACTTAATATTTTTTACGCAAATCACATACTTGATTTTATTTTATAACTGTGATTTTTTAGCTCACTAAAGGCCGCCTGTTATTAAAACTATAAAAATATCAATTACAATGATTATATAATGATCATTCATAAATCATGGTAAAATCGTGTGGCATCGTCAAATCGACTATCGATCACCGACTTGTCAATATGACGATAGCGTTCGGAAAGACCTAATAAAACTAAAACTATCGCGTTGCATCATTATTTTATCGATTTATCGGATTTGAATTTATATATCATATGCATGTGCTCAATCACGATTTTCGCGTACAATTTTTGGAAGCTCTTTAGACCTTCTCGAACCCGAGATTCGGTAAACCACGAAAAAGGTGTTTCCGACTCGATTTACCTGGCCCCGGAAGATCCAGACGGCGTGCATGCAGATGATCGTCGCATGTTCAACGCTGTTCCTCCGACATTATTGGTCCGTCACCGCTTCCCATGCATGCAATGGCGTAAATAGACTCACTACCGCCCATGGCAAACTTAGAAAAAAACGCTTTTTAAACAAATGAAATTTGATATCACGATATTTTTTTTAATCTTTAATTTTACTAATATTTTTTAGCATACAATTTATACTTATAAGTTATTACAGTGTTAATTTTTGAACTTTGAAAATTTGAAATTCTCGCAAGCAAATTCATGGATAATTTCTTTATATGAATTTTTTTATTTAAATGTCCTTGCGTTTTTTTCATAATTTCATCATTACATTCACACGCAGTGCGTACGGTTAGACAACATCAACGTATTTCAAAGAGTATAATGAAAAAATGTCGATCTGATCGTAGGATAAAAACGCGACTTTCTCACAATTTGGCGCCCCTTTGCAATTCGCACCCCCGGCGTAGGCACAGTTCGTCATACCTTTGCTACGCCACTGCGCGCAGGGGTGCACGGTCGAGATGGATGCGCACGGATGCGTGTGCCATCGGGTAACGGTCGGAACGGACGCCGTAAACGTGTCTAGGGCCACCCGCAGCAGTCGCGATCGGTTTCATTCGTTTTCGTCCATGCGTTCCGTGACGGCACTCCGTGTTCGGGATAACGCCGCGGCCGTAACTCGTTTGTCCATTAGGGCGGCACCGGGTCGCAGCTAACGCGCGGCTTCGGCTCCGGCAACATTACAACAATACCGACGATAACGCGATAGTAATATATGTAATATGTTAATCCCGACTGCCGGCGACCGGCTGCGTAAATTCCAATTACGAAATACCCGTGTTTTTCTGATTGTACCGACGTGCCGATACACATCTGCAGCGCCGCGGAATCCAGTCGCGCTCGTCGCCGACCGTTATTGACTATCGTGCGCGTGTAATAATCTCTCATGATACGTGTGTGTATACCATCGAACGTACGATCCGAGTGTCCCACGAAGATTTACTAATTGCCGATACATCCAGTGTCCACATAAATAATCGAATTACGTTATTTTCTTGTTCAAATTTCGTGTTGATTTTTTATTATCGTAATAACTGATCGACTAGCACGAATAAAGAAAATCTCACCTTCCCATTAATCGAAAATTATCTTGATAGAACCTTGTGAAAAAAATACAAGGATACATCGTTGACATTTTCATTTACAGTTCATTCAACGCAAAAATATTACAGGTCCAACCTGAATAGAGCGTAAATCATTTAGGCGAGAAATTCACCGATATCGTTTAGGCTAATCTATAAACTATTATGTATATATTTCGTATGACGTACAACATCTTAAGCACTACACAATCAACAATTATTACAATATAATTTAAGTCAGGAATAAAAAGATAAAATAAATCAATAAAAACAGTTAAAATTGTTAAATAAAATGAACAACTATAAAAATACACTATATTATTGGTTATGACAGGTAACTTTTAATTCATGATTCGACGTCAAGTTTGCTTATCCATTCAATGGTCGGATTTGTAGTTTTGAAGAAGTTTTCCATCTCTCCTGGGTATTGTCGAACCGGACAGTCTTTGATCCATGGATTGCACCTCTCCACAGTCACAGTTAGGGTTATTTCTTAGTTTCCGTTTGTTTAAGAGTTGGTTGCATCGTCCTTGTCCGATGCGAGTGCGATTGAGGCGGATCCATGTTTTGCGTGGGACTTCCATTTCAGGCTGTGGTTATGTAACCGACTGGTTCTCCGTTTGGCTGGAGGTTTTCGCGCAATTCGGTCCGCAGTGCGTTCGGGTTGTTAGTGTAGTAGTTTGTAAACTTTTCTGCTCTACAAGCGGGGTGTTTTAATTTCGTCCTAATGGATCGGAATTTCAGGGTCTTTATTGATCCGTGTCACCAGCTTTAGGACAGCGAATTCTCTTCGGATACGAGGAGGTTCTATATGCCACAACACTGGTAGCCAAGGAAGTGGGGTCGGCATGACACTCCCTGTTATAAGACTTTCCAAAGTCGGGTATACACCAGTTACTATAAACTATTGGATCCCAGGGATTTGACAAACCTATTTAACAATATCGTAACACTAATGGGTCTGAATCATTTCACGGTGATTATTAAAACTTACGGTTTTATCATCCACGCACTGATATTTGTCAAGTAAATTATATTTGAAAAGAAGCTTAAGTAGAAAAATCTTATGAAAAACAAATTATATTTTCGGCGACCGAAACCTCCTGCAGACGAATAGACTGCACGGTGCAGACCTAACGTTATTTGAATTGATCGAAAGTACGTGTATACGCTTTACATGACGTTGGGCAGGAGTGATTGCAAAAACGATGAAGACGAAAAAATACTCTGTGCCAATCGCACTTGGATACACACATGACGCAATATATTATATTCGTACGTCGGAGTGCGGTCAAAAGTGAGACGTATAATAAAACTTGTCTCGTGCGAGTTTATAAACGCAGATGTGCACGTACGCGCGCACCGCGTCCACTTGTTGCGGAAGAAAACTAGTTTGTCATAATCGTAAAAATATCCGAGGCAGGTGTTAGAAGTGCACTTGAAACACGCCCACTTCATGTACCATTGGTTTTCTCAACGACCCCTCGGGTAGGTTTTATTACCTATTATTACAGCGTTTCCACCTGAATGGAAACCATTTTGTCACCAAACCGCGAGCCGCACACGCACGCACGCGGCGTTGTATACTGTTACACGTGTACACGGCATCTGCAGTTGTACGCACGTGCAATGGGTTTCTGTATTGGCGAAACGCGTACGCCGACGATTCTTAAACATTGTCGTCGGTGCGCGCAATACGCACAGTTACGATCACGCGAACAACCGCAGCCGTACGAAGCCATCTTCGAGGCAGAACTGAACAAACGCGGCACCCCCTACGTTGTAGCGTTGATACACCGACGGTTTTTAATACCTACGTGTAATACGATTCGGAAAAATCTGAAAAAATTGTAATCAGGTTTCTAGCGAATCGAGAGATAACATTTCTTAAAATAAGCTAATTGTGTAATATTTTCGCGCCCTCCGGCTTCAAAGGCAAGTGTGCCTCCGTTCACGTCACCCTAGTTACGACTCTGAGAAAAACCCGTCTTGCGCGTTCCAACACAATAATATCGTAACGGTACACGTGTCATCCGCGTCGGATCTGTACGTGTGCTACGTTGTAATATTTTGAACGGCGTCACACATCGAGGGGATGAAAACGAGCGAGTTTTAATTGTTCCGGATGGCGTTGAAATGAAACCCGGCCGGAATTCGAAAACGAAACGAAAACTTTAATCGCGCGCACGTGAACATCGAAACGCAATAAAAATGTTATTTTATCTTCACCGTTGATCTTATGTGATACTGCAAATATTTTACGGCCAACGTACAAACTTCGGTCATTTTAATGCCCGGATGATGATGATTATTGCATAGACATTTTTCTGGTTTCGATTAAAAACCAAATATAAATGTCCACTCTTATATCTCTTTCCGGCTAATGCTTAAGACTAGCTATCGTCCTGCATCTTATAAGATATTTTCGTAAGTATACTTACAAAACAAAAACATTTTAAGTTCGGTTTTGTCGTTAATAGTTCGATTAAAATCAGACTATAAAATCAATTATCATAAAAAGTATATTTGTTTACGACAATGAAGGGCATTCTATTGTGTGTATGATTCGTGCATGATATTTAAATCCAGGAATAATGCATTGGGCAAAATATTATAATTTCGATTGTTTTCAATGAAAACAATGACTTGTGCGTAAAAAAATTTGTTTTTATTTGTTTTCAGCATCTGAAATTTGAGCAAGAATAATGTCAACAAACGTGAATATGAATTTAATGTTGGAATAAAAATAAAACAAATCGAATAGCAGGTAAACGTCGTGGTAAAAATTAAACTTGGCAATTCGGACAACTTAAGAAAAAAACATGTTGCAAGGTAACTTGACTTAAACTTTTTGAACTCGGTCAATTCCCTGCCTTGCGTAACATAACGATTCGCAACGGAGAGAGAGAGAGAGAGAGAGAGAGAGAGAGAGAGAGAGAGATAGAGAAAAAACGGATCCTGTAATATTTTTCAAACGCGTTTGTTATTATTCGACCGGGCGGGTTCAATGACGGGATACGAAGCAATACTTCGAAAACGATTACTGCACGCGGACGAGATCTCGTATACACGCTACACGAACGCAATACTCTAAAGTACTCCGTTTTGCACTCTTACGTTAATTGAACATGTAATGTACACAAACACGTATGTTGTGTACATCTCTTTGTCACGGCGCGCTTCGGAATGCAGCCACCGTCTGTGCAACTCGCCCGATATGGTACCGAACTCACCCTCGATAGGATGACAAAACATTAAGAGTGAAAACCCCGGTTAGACGCGCAAGGGTGGACGAGACCGTACCAATTCGGTTGAGTACGTTCCATGCACATGCATATACATATGCGTACGACAGTGGCGTAGCCAGAATTTTTCTTCCGGGGGTAGGGAGACTGATTAATCTTTACACAGCGGTGGTTTAGATAGGTTCTTCTGTAAGTTTAACATGTGGATGCCAAAGTTATATATTTTAGATTTTGGTTCCTATAACCCTTAACGTATACTGATTTTATATTACTCTTGTATACTTTAAACACTTTGGATATTGTATTTTACAGTGGTATAAAATAAATTATTTTACAGGTATTACTAATTAAAAAAGAACGTTTTTTTTAATAGGACATAATATAATAGACGAACATTTTATATAATAAAACAATCACCTACTCGATAAAAATGAATATAATATGAAGAATAAAAATAATTAACTATACCCATTTAATTACTTTTTAACATTTTTAATTAACTTTATTATCAGATGACAAAAAATTTAAGTGATAATTTTAACCTCTAAGAGTTGCAGCCCCTTCAGCCGCCCCCTTGGTTACGCTATTGGCGTACGATATATGTTGCACTGGACGCGTTCCTGCCGCGCATAAAGAAACCTGCCCCCTGTGCAATAATGTGTACTATAAACATACAAGGTATGTTTCCATATAATATGCAACATTAATTTGAATGTTGAATTTGCGTTAATGTGATGTCCCTGATACTGCTAATGTCCGGTGTTTGCAACCTAATCATCAACGTTTTAAATCTGTTAATTTCTAACATACCTGCAACTGCAATATAATGTTTATAACAAAAAGTTATATTTGGGTTACATTGTAAACATAGTTAGAACGTCATATTTAAACAATGAAACCTACTAATAATTGGAAAACAATTATAATAAAATACCACAACTCGTATGAGGGTATCGAACTCCGAACACCGACATATCTACCTAAACGGGTCTCTAAATCCTACGCGTTACTACCTACCGGCTATCCTAATCATATTGACATTAGGTTTATAATGGACGATATTTAAAGTGAATGGAAATCAATGGTTTTCTGTCTTTACTACCATACGATCACATTATGTATGACAAAATAAGTAACTGATTTTTAACTAAGTTTAGTTACTTTTATTTTTTAATCAACATAAGACATGTAGTCTAAAACTGTCTTATGACGTGACACATCAAATAGTATGCATACGGACATTACTCTTATAAATAATTGATTTGATACCCCTTGTATATTTAAATATATTAGCTTATGGGTAAAACCAATAGAGTATATTTTTATAGAGTGCAAAACAATTTATTTTAAAATAGTATATTTTTTTTTTTTGTGAAAAACTGAAACATCGATATTATTTTGCTGGTACGTATTACAAATCACAATAATATAACAACCCTGTGACATATAATTTATAACATTGTAGGTCTGTACTATCATATAATGCCTAGTTATATCGCCGGGATGAGTGTTAAATGTTTGTTTTATTTAGACAGAATAGATACATTGTATACATATTAAAAAGTTACGTTGATTATACTACGTAATATGTTTGTTTCTGGGATGTGTTGAAACATCCAGTGCACACTGGGTGTGCAACGTGTTCGGCGCATTAATCGCATCCAGTCGTTTCGCCGGAACTTCTTGCCCGAGCGCGAAACGGTAACGAGTAACGTCGAGCGATGTTTGCTACCGCGGTAGTGTACACGGACAGTCGTTATTAGCGTTTTCGTGCGACACGGTAAAGTGCGGTAGTGCGTACGTGTGTAGATATGGAAAATGTTTTTTTTTTCACAACTAATTTAATCTGTTTTGTACACGTAACGGTGAGTTTAAAGAGATCGAATCGCCCGTGTGACTCCCTCCGTAGATAGTATTATTCTCTTTGCGGGCGTAACAAAAACAAAAAAAAAAATACAAAAAAAAACTCGCCTCCGCACTAAAGACTTTTTCCTTTAAAAACCAATTTAAATTCAAAGTACATATTTATTATCATCATTATGCTTGCAAGGAAGCACATCGCAAAGCGCGCGTCCAAACGCATTACCGTCGATTAATTATAAACATATTACGCTCGACGCACCGAAATACACGGACTATCTCGTCATATCGCTCTGACCTTTTTCCGCGCGCACTACCAGAACCAGGAGACTGTTGTATATCCGTATAGACATATATGTATGTTAAATGATATAATATAGTTACAAAGCGGAAACTACGATAATTAAAAAAAAATCAGTGCATCGCCGAGGGACTACGTCCCCATCCTGTACACGTCGCATCGTACTATAAAAACACAA